TTTTCAGCCAGTAAAAGAACTGAATAAATAGATTTCAAATGCCTTCAATACGGCATTGATTCTTGGTAAAATTTCGCTCAATTAAAAAAATCCGATATGACTGAAGATACCTATTAGAGGAGAAGGCAAATACAGTGGATTGGGAAAAAGTGGCCGATAGCGAATTTTGTAATTGGGCCAGACGTGTTTGCGCTGGATGACACGTCTGAACTGTTGCGTAATAAACGGTATGAGATGCTTCACCTGCTTCCCCTGCCACTGTGATTCAATCTGAAAGAATTCACTAAATCTATTATTTACTTTTTATGCGCTTTTTGCAGATATGCAATCCAGAAAACGCATACTGACGAGAGGTTGTGTGCGTGTGTGTGTGTACATGTGTGTGTGCGTGTAAGTGTGCGCTGGGCCTTTGTACCGATTTTTCATCTCAAGACCTAAAAAAGCTACAGGGCTGAAACTTTGGGAACTTCACCTACATGCATGCACGAGCCCCCATTCCCAAAATGGGTGGTCTTACCCGCGTGGTAGCTACATGTGGACTCGTGAAAGTTTTTTGCGGGTAAGTCAGTAACTGGCGAACCAGAAAAGCTAGAAAGCTGTAATTTCAAGGGAATATCTCCTGTCCACGTAAGCCTCAATGAGCTCAGACCCAGACACCGAGTATGCGTGGTACCCATGTACGAGCCCGCCAAAGTTTTTTTCGGATAAGTTGCTAACTCGGGAACTTAAGGAGCTAAAAGAGAGCCAGAAGATTGTAGTTTCAAGAGGATATGTTCCGTCCACCTAGGCCCCATTGTGCTCAAACCCAGACTCCGGGTATGCGTGGTACCCATGTACGGGCTCGCCAGAGTTTTTTTTCGAGTAAGCTGCTAACTCGGGAGACTTAAAAGTTAGAAGACTGTAATTTTAAGGAATGTTCCCTGTCCAAACATGTATCAATGAGTTCAAACCCAGCTCTTGGGTATGCGGCGGACCCACGTGCGGACCGTGAATTTTTTTTTCGGGTAAGTCGCTAACTCGGGAACCTGAAAAGTTAGAAGACTTTAATTTTAAGAGGATGTTCCCCATTTACGTAGGTATTAACGAACTCAAACCTAGCCCCCAGGTATGGGTCATTCCCACGTATGGGCCTGTGAAAGCTTTTTTTGGGCAAGTTGCTAACTCGGGAGCCAGGAAAGCTACAAAGGTGAAATTTTGAAGGGATATTTCCTGACAGTCCTGGTGACCAGTCCAAAATTCTTTTAGCTAGAAGCATCTGCCGAAATAACCAGTGCGTTAGCGCCAAAAATCTGTGGGGAGCTGTGCAAAAAATGCACCTTCGCACGGGCAGCCCGTGCGCTAGCCAATTATTCAATTCCCGATATGATGTGACCGAAGGCAATTACTAAAGCTCAGATCAGCGGCGCTGGAAGACGCGTTGTAACGACTAGGAGGTGGGGGTAGGAAGTGGAGGCAAGGGTGGAGGCAAGGGTGGAGGGGGGTGAGGTTGGGGTGCTAGTTTTGGTCTCAGGGAGTTTAACGGAGGAGAGATGGGTTAATTACAGAAAAGGAGCTAAGACCTTGTCTGAAGATAGGAACTTGGAAGGAGGGGCGCGGTTTATCAGGGAGGGGGCTTACGTGGGTTTTTTTTATGCTCCGCATGGAATCTGATGCTGAACAGAAGTCAGCAATTTTGAAAACGACACCTGTAACCTCGGCCAGACAAAAAACCCAGTACTATGATTTTTGCAGCTCGAACCCAGGCTCAAAAAGAAGTGCATATTGCACGGTCAAGCACAGCCTAGTTTTGGTAACTGCCTGAACAAACTATATTACAGCCGCACAAAGTGGAGCTAAAATTTTAGCAGAATAATGACTGCGAAAAATAACAACATCGCCTGGACAATGATATAAAGAACTGCCAATTAGTGATGCTACTGGAATGTAGCCGGCCGTAAGGCGCAATTACGTTGCGCTCACTCGTCCTATGCTATGCTAATTGCTCCAATTAATAACCAGAACAGTACCCCACAGCGCCGAAAAAAAAATTACCTGAAAATCCAGAACTGGCATATCAACAAATGCGAAGGCCCAATGCGTGAACGGTTCACGTGTCAACTTTAATCGAATTTTACCAGATAGCCGAGTTAGCTAAATAATAATTATTAGGGAACGAACAAAATGTCAAAAAATTGACGAGTATATTTTGATGTAAATAAGCAGAAACACCACGTGGCCGATTCTGGGGATTTTGAGATCCGCCCAAATGAAGTCTCGTACTCTTGAAAAACCCTTAGCATTCAACTGATTTTAAAACGTATGGCTGACTACTAGGTAACTTCATTTAGGACATTATATTGGACGGGAAGAAAGGGAAGCGAAAGTGAGCTGAAGGACACAATGGCTGCCGAGATAGCACGGAAGAACATGCAGTTCGCTTGTAAGAACAAAGTGGAAAATCAATGCAGCGAATGGTATGGCCATCAGCAATCTAACCAAACGGTTATGTAACTACAGGCACAGCAATCATGGAAATGCTACCAGTTGCATCGGCAGGGGAACAGAACTGAGCTAAAAAAACCGACCAGTGCGTTACGAATCTGGAAAATCTGGCAGAAAACTGAGTCAAAAAATTGCTAATAATAAATCAGTCTTTGCTGCATCTTCTGTGACAAAGCCTCGGTTTTTCACTTTCAGTACGTTATTTCACTTTCACTTGTTGTTTCACCTGCTCCTTGTTTTAGCACCAGTAAGTGAAATAAAAATTATCCTATTGCATTTCGTACAACGACTTAACCTTTTGCCTCTTTCGCTGTTAGACTAGTTATCATCTACAGTATGCACATTTGAAAAGGCTTTACAATATTGTTTTACCTCACTGTGTGAAGACCGCTGACTAAAGGGTTTGCACTAAGTTACGTATAAACTTTGAAAATGATTCAGTAGGAAACCTTGATTGAAAGCTGCGCAAATCGCCCAAAAAGCATGCTCACATCAACGGAAGTTTGAAAACCACCACTGTAATCAACATCCGCTAACAAATTCAGTGTCTGAAAAACCAATTAACGCGTGTTATATTTCAGCGAGTGAAAAAAGAACCACTCGAAATTTCTTTGATACGTTTGGTATGAGTACTGAACAAGTCAACTTCGTTATATCAAAAAATTATGAGCTACATAAGAAGGAAAATAAAATTCATCTTGTAACTAAAAAATATTTTTTTTAATAAAAATTTCCAAAAATAAAGATTTCAACTCACTTTAAATCCTTCTCCATCTTCAAACATCTGAAAACTTTCTACGCGCATTGCGTTAATCACCGGAGATTTGGAGCCTATTGATAAGTCCCGAATACGAATATCCTGAAAAATGAGAGCAATGTAGAGGAAAGAAACAATGAAAATTGGCCTAAGTCTTGCTGTTTTGGTCGGCCTAAGGTGCTGTTTTGAAAGCAATTATATGTACGAGGTAGATAAGGAGTAATGTCCTTCTTGGATTGTTCATCGTCACAAAAATCAACATCGAAAACGTTACGCAAGGACTAAAATTTATTGCTGATCACTCCCTCACCTGTATAAGACGACCGGCTGCATTGCGCGTGGTGAGATCACTGAGTTCCAGCTGCAGTTTTTTGTGAATCCACCTGCAATAGCTCACATATCAGTAACGAAACAACAATCCCTCAAAAACAATGCTTTTCTTTTGAAACAAACAATCAGCACAAAGAAACAGCAGCACAAATATGCCAAGAAAGAAACCTCCGCAATCGTTTCGTATCTTTATGCTCTTGGAATAGGAAATGCAATATGAGGCTAAAAATAAAGCACGATTCCCATCTGGTAGCCCCGCCGTCAGCACCATCCTTGTCCAGAAAGCGTCTCAGTTCCTGAAAGCAATCGACTGACAATTCTGGTGCGGGAAACAAGCAAAATTATCGTCGTACTGTGGCGGAGGAGCGTATCTGAGCAGCTAGATAATCGAAAGGAACGAACAAAACCAGAACCAATGACAACCGAAGCAAAGGATGCTCGTGCGGTGCATTTTCGCGAACACATAAGCAATGCAAACTTCCCATCCTGGGCATCCGGCCTGCAAAGATGCTCGCTTTGCACGTGCGCCACCGAGGCCAGACCAGTCTGGTGGTTTATTCAGTGATTTGTGAGCAAACATGTAATTCAAGGCTGTCAGGGGAAGGAATAGGTAGCAAAAATAACATAAGCCGATTCGGTCAATGAACAGCAAAATTCGCGCACCATACGAGAGTGGTAAGCATTCGCGAAATGAGAACAGCACTGAATGACACAGCACGAGGACTAGCTGCGCTGCACAGCGATGAAGAAGAAGAAGCATCTGCATGCAAGGAGCAACGGAAAGGCAACCTCTGGCAGACGCAGCGCTTGAAACTGTTCGGTGAACGACGCTGCACTTGTGCCGACGCTGCCGAACGGCTCGAATAACAGCACGTAGATGAGCGTAAGTACCAGAACTGCTCCAACAACAACGCCCCAAAGAAACGGCACCATCAATACACGGGCAGCCTGGCATACGCCGCGATTTCGCTGCACTTCTCCTGGAGCAACACATACATACATACCGATTACAATGAGATCGACAGCGAGCGATGCTCTAGCACTGTGTGCCCGAAAGTCAGCAAAAGACACTGCTAAACTGGTATCGCATGCCGGGAAGCGGAGGCTCTTGTCCCTAGGCGAAACCTTCCAGTGCGCGAGCCAACCAGCGGATGGCGCGGGCGGCTGCACTTCCCAAAAGCTGAAAATAACAAAAAAAAAACACCCGAAACAAGCCCCAAACACAATGTAGTTGATTTGCAGACACAAAGTCATCTGCCCGGTAAAAAACCTACCTACCCATCCCGATACACCCACCAAGCAGCAGTGCCCTGTAAATCAACATTCCAGGGGGTTGGGATGCAGTGCAGTAGCATGTAAGCAAGCACCTAAGCCCTGAGATCACACGAAATGAAATTTTTTCAATTATGGCTGATAAGTTTGAGCTTGGAAACTGATCGAAAACCAATACGCTATGCTCCAGTGCAGCATTTCTTAAACTTTTCATACAGCTTCAAACAAACAAATTGTTTATTCTCAATGCAGGCAAATACAGCAGGAAGCGAGGCTAAAAATCGCTTACGAGGTACAAGAAATAGTTCGAACAACAACGCACGTTCTCAATCATCGTTTCTTAATTGTCCTTCAGTGAACGGAAGCCAGCATCACTTTACAGCATCCACGACTACGCAGAAAAAAAATAAAAAAAATGGACCGCACACAGGCAGCACTTGTGATGAGTGCCCGTTTCTCATCGACAGTGAATGTGGAGGAGGGTTTGTGGTTTCTACTACAAGAGATTTATTTACTCACTCTCCAAACATTTTAGAAAAAAATATTCACTCACTCCCATATCAAATATTTTCTCTCTTACTCAATCACCGCAGCCACCGTACTGACGAGGCTCAGCTATGGTACTCGAAAAGAACGTACACGACTTAACGGGCCGAAACATCCGCTTCCAGTTATTCAACTTAAAAAACTTTTTAAATACCTTATCTTTCCCTTTTTCTGTGTTTCACTGTATATTAATCCAAATGGGATATATTTGTAACTTGTTAATATTACAATCATTACTATTGCTGTTACTGATAATACTTTATATTACCATAATTATTTGCCAACTTTGCTATTATCCTATTTATATTTTGTTTATTATTGCCATCACTTCTTTTACTAGTACCTTTCCTGTTATCGTTATTACATTAACATTATTCTTACTGTTATTCTTATTTTTTTACCATTATCATTACTGTTGTTATCATCGTTATTATTATTACTGTTGTTATCATTGCTGTTATTATTTTTATTATTGCTGTTGTTATTATCACTATTATTTCTTTTGCAACCTTTTATTAGATCTATATTTTCTTATTCTAAGTTTTGCCTATCAGGATCAGTCTAACCGATACCAAAACTGACGTTTCATCACTCAACAACCCAATCCCCCGCTAGTTTTATACTTTCCATCGGACACCGCCAAAACTCAGAATTTCTTGAAAATTGGTGCAAATAGCAGTGTGCAAGGTGCTGTGATGTTAATGGAAGCAGACCATCAAACGTGCAAGTCTGATCACATAAATTGGGCAGGGAAGGGCCAATGCAAAAGTGCACTGAACATGCAAAGACAAGCAACAGGCCCGAAACACAAAATGATTACACACTTTGAAGAACACACTACTAACACAAAAAATATTAATATGGTGTAAGTAGGCCAAGCACTCCAAGAATAGAAAAAACTCCCCCAGGATAGAAAAAAAAAATTAGAAAAAACTCCCACACAACACTATGAAGGAAAAGACCTCCATACTGACCAAATAACAACCATTTGCAGACCAAACTCGAGCTACACATTGAACTGAACAAACGAAAATTGTGGTGCGCACGGAGTAGCCTGCACATTATGCGTAATTTCGTCTAGCAGGCGTTTGCTGCTAGGGATGTTCACGGCTTTACAATTGGATGTACGCAAATGTAGACGAAATGTCTGGTTTGCGAGCTAAAAAATTTCCCACGTGCACGTGCATGAGGTGCGGGCGTTCGCGAGGGCTGGATTTGAATTTATTGAATCATATATGAACAGAAAACATACTCCGGTGTTTTCAGTTTTCTGTGCTTTTTTAGTTTCGGAACTAAAAATTCCTGATGAGAAATTTCACATGCCCGTACGTCAAAACACACAGGATATGAAAGCTTAATTTGTAATTCCACAGGCGAGCAATGACAGAAAGCAAACATTTTAAATCTGCAGTTTCCTGTCTTGTCTGGTTCCCGGGACAGAAAGTCTTCCACCCAAATTCTTAGGAATTCGCACGTGAAAATACGATGTAGCTCAATTAAATTTATGGGATCAGAAAGCAGTATGGAACTTTTTCCAACATTTCAGCTTCCTGCTTTTCCGGCACCCGATTTACTGATTTTCTCGCCAAAAATTTCATGAGCCCGTATGTAAGACGTACTTGGAGACTGAATTTGAAATCTTTAGATAGCAACTGGGCAGTGGACATATTCTAGTTTCCTAACATTTCTAGTTCGTGAGTTGAAGACCCCAGGTAAAACGAACTATGAACGCATGCACAAGCACACATACACGCACAAACATACACATGTACATACGTAAAGACGCAACACAAAGCGCCTTGTGCAACCTTTCCAGCACAAAACCAATGAAATCAATTACAACGGCATAAAAGAGAATATGAAAGCCTACAAGTAAAAAAGGCATGAAGTCAATTAATTACAGTGGAATGAAAGTTTCGATCTTCTCGGTGAAAGTAGTACTAGCTGCTTCTTTTTTTACCTAGCATGAAAGAAACACGGAATTTTAAATTCCAGCAATTCTACAAAAAATGCAATTCTTCAAAAAAAAAAAAAAAAAAAAAAACCAGC